GGGGGGGCAGAAATAAAGAGAGAAGCTGCACCAGCTGTTGCTCTCCCTGGAGACTACTGGACATCGCTGCGGTAAAGTCAGCAGACACTCAGATCTCCGTGGTCAACTCAGCAGACACTTACATGTTAGTGCACCTATATGCTGACATTCACGGTAAACGCATTTAAACGGCACAGATCGGGAGCGAGCGAAGGACTTTGAAAGTTAGCAGAAAGATTAACGTGAAACAACATCCAGTTTCTATTGTTGCCCAGCACTAATATTTAATATATATTTACCCTCACCGGAAAGAAAAAATGAGTCTTATGGTGATGATGATGATCTTCCTCCTCAGGATGAGAAGTTGCACAAACTGATGAAGGAGTTTGGGTCAAACAACTGGTCCTCAGTTTCTCTGCATTTTAAAGTGAGTAGTTTTATTTTACCTCCGTAACTCTGGTCACAGGACAAGACAATGCTCAGTGTTCAGAAGGCGTCCTAACTGTCTCTGTTGTGTCTCAGGGTCAGAGGACAGAGGTGCAGTGTCAGCGGAGGTGGCAGCACATTAAAAATCCAGAGCTGGTTAAAGGTCCCTGGACTAAGGAGGAGGATGAGAGGGTGAACACTCACTCTTTAACCGGTCCACAGTACTATACTACTATACTATAGTACTACTATACTTTACCTACTGTATCAAACTGCATCTTACGTAGTAGTCAGCAAGTCAAACTTTTTGACTCAGGACTAGTGAATGTGACTCAGGACTTGTTAAACGTGACTCTGGACACATTGGAAATGACACAGGACTTATTTGACGTGTCTGAGTACATGTAGGATGTGACTCAGGATGTGTGAACTTGACTCTGGACTTGTTGGACGTGACTTGGGACATGTAGGATGCGACTCTGGACTTGTTAGATGTTACTCACGACTTAACATGACCCAGGAATTGTTTGACATGATTTGAGACTTGTTTGGTGCTACTCAGAGCTCATTTGATGTGACCCGGGACTTGTTTGAAATGATTCAGGACTTGTTGGATGCAATTCTGGACTTGTTACACAGTACTCAGTTGGATGCAACTCGCGACTTGTGAACATGACTCTTGACTTGTTGGACGTGACTTGAGACTTGTTGGACGCTGGTCGGGACTCATTAGGTGTGACTCGGGATTTGTTGGACGTGACTCAGATTTGTTGGACATGGCTGGGGACTTATGAACAAGACTCTGGACTTGTAGGACTTGACTTAGACTTGTTAGACGAGAAGCTGGACTTCTTAGACTTGAATCAGGACTTGTTGGACATGACTCAGGAGTTGTGAACAAGACTCCGGACTTGTAGGACTTGACCCAGATTTATTTGACATGGCTGGGGACTTGTGAACAAGACGCTGGACTTGAAGGACTTGACTCAGATTTATTTGACATGGCTGGGGACTTGTGAACAAGACGCTGGACTTGTAGGACTTGACTCAGATTTATTTGACATGGCTGGGGACTTGTGAACAAGACTGTAATTGTTGGATGTGATTGACCAGAACTCCTCTATAAACTAATAATCCTTGTGATGTCACTTCCTGTCCAGGTCCTCAAGCTGGTTCAGACGTTCGGCGTGAAGCGCTGGTCGCTCATCGCCAAACAGCTGCTTACTCGTAACGGGAAGCAATGCCGCGAGCGCTGGCATAACCACCTGAACCCGACGGTGAAGAAGAGCGGCTGGACTCTGGAGGAAGACCTCACCATCTGTCAGGTGCACCAGCTGCTGGGGAACCGCTGGGCCGACATCTCCAAGATGCTGCCGGGCAGGTTAGTAGATGTTTAACATCATTATTATCTTTAATATGATGATCCAGACCATATCAGACCAGAACCAGAGATGTACCCAACATCTCAGATCGAATATTGACATTTAAAGTGTAACTAAAAGTAACATTAATCTTCACAGGACAGACAACTCCATCAAAAACCACTGGAACTCCACCCTGAAGAGGAAGGTGGAGAAGGAGGCATACCTGCAGGTCCTGCACATCCAAAACTCCCCCAGACCAGCACCCGGGATCTTAGACCCCCCTAGCACAGCCAACATCCCCCCCAAGGTCAATGTACACACATGATGTTCATGATGATGATGGTGGTGGCGGTGGTGATGATGGTGGTGATGATGTTGATGATGATGTTCATGCAGTTGATGATGATGTTCATGATGATGATGGTGGTGGTGTTGGTGGTCTCTCCTCCAGCAGGGGGACAGTCTGTCCAGTGTGAAGGACGAGTCCAGCTGCTCCTCCAGCGATCAGACCAACCCTGCTCACCTGTGCTACGTCTGTGTCCCCGCCTCCTCCTCAGGTTACGGCTCCTCACTGAGCATGTGCGAGCTGACAGCGTCTGTGGAGCTGATGGAGGCGGTACGTCTCAGCTGAGGCTCTAATTCACCTCAGATATGTTTCTGACTGGAGAGAACCTGTGTGTGTTGACTCTACATGTACATACTCCTGATCTCACCTCGCAGAACACCTGGAGCTGTGGCCCAAAGGAAGTGACCTCGTCTCTCTCCACCTGTCTGGACAGAGAGGAGGCCGACCCATCAGTCATGGACCTGAGCGGGAGTTATGTAAGACAACGTTTCAAAGTCTTCTGTTAGCTAACACCATAAATCCACCGGCAGATTCATTTCCTCATTCATCACATGTTCACATAGCTTCACTGTCTTCAATGAGCTGGAAACAGTGACTGTGTTGTTGTCTGCAGGTTGCAGGCCTGAAGGAGCAGCTGGTGACCCGTGAGGACGGAGCCTCCTTCATCAGCAGCACCTTCTCCCCCTCTGAGGTGAGGACACCTGGAGACACTGCTGCCGTTTGTCCTGCTGAAATGTCTGTCTGACGTCTGTGTGTGTTCAGCTCTTCAGTCTGTGTGGTGTGGAGGATCTGAAGTTACAGAGCCCGGCTCTCAGCTCCACCCCCGTCTGCTCCCTGAAACACTCCACCCAGAGGGACCACCGCTGTCTGCACTGCAGCCGGTACGTCAGGCTCCTTATGATTATGTTTATTCATCATATTACACTGTAGTCAGTGAGCTCATCTATCTTTACTGTGTTCAGGACTTCCTCAGAGACCAGGGACAGTGTGCGAGTGCTGTGGACGCCGGCCCCTCAAACACCGACCCCACTGAAGATCAGCAACAAGAGCCGGGACGAGGTGAGAGGAGCCGGGTGGTAAAACAAGCTCGCCTCCTTTTAGAGCTGTGGGTTGAGTCTCCTTTGTGGTTCAGGGGTCAGTTTGTTGGAGCGGCAGGATGAATGTGACGTGGGAGGAGCCAAGTGTGAATCCTGAGAGTCCTCAGTCCAGCAGCAGCTCTGAGGTCTGAAACACGCTCCTGTTAGATCCCAACACACACACATGGTGTGTAGGTTGTAGATGTGTGTGTGTTGGGATCTAACAGGAGCGTGTTTGAGTTATCAGCAAATATGAATACTAAATGATTGACATCAATAGAATCATTGATGTCAGTAAGATTATTAACAATTATTAATATTAACGGGGCTCCACCCTGAGAACATGGACCAATAACCAACTACAGTAAGCCTCTAAGTCTCTATGAGCCTACTATCTAAAGTCAAGATCCTCACCGCAGCCGTGGAACAGAGAAACTGTTTCTCTATCACACAGAAACCTGACTGGAGAACTCAGATTGGGCCGTGGTTCTGGTCTTTGAACTGATGAAGTAACAGAACCAACTTCACTCACAGTGATGATCTAACAGTATCAAATACAACAGTCATTTATAAACAGCGCTAGCGGAACTCAGCGGTCTGTAAACAAACACAATAACACGTTATAACAATACAGTCAACTTAAACTAAACAAACACACTATGACCTACCTCTGCCCAGACACAAGCCTCTTACTGTGAGACCACTTCTTATTGGTCGATGTGGTTCTTCCAGTCTCTTGATTAAACTCGGAATCCGGAGCTTCAAGCTGCGCGGTGATAAACTCTCCGACGTTAAAATGTGACGTTAACGGGGAGAGAACGAGTCATAGAAGTTATCCGTTCTCTTCTTCAGGATCCAAAAACAAACAGACGGTCTATTGTTCGTCCAGTCAAGTTAAGACTATTTCTAGGTTTTCTTGAAAGCAACATTGTTTGTGCCTCCTTCCATCACCTCGAGTCGGACGGGACGGCACAGAGCTGGAGGTAACGCAGAGTTCTATAGATTCTGAATCCCTGTGGAGCCTGTGGCCCTCGTCCAATGAGACCTCAGAGTTGAGTTTGGATGTAAAGTCACACGTAGGTGAGACTTTACACTTGTGACCATGACTCGATGTTCTTGTTGAGGACTTGGTCCAGATCCTCCGTGTTCTTGTCTGAGTCTCCTTCCACATCTTGATGTCTCTGGTTATTTGTCCTTTGAGGTGGTCCTACCTTTGAGCTTCAGGTTGATTCCATGTTTGTGGTTCTTTAAGGAGGTGGAACCCTCCACCATTCTTCTTCTCTCATGTTCTCATATGTCGACACGCCTCAGTGCACTGAGCTCCTGCCACGTGATTGGCTGATTGGATATTTGAGTTAACGAGTTGAACGGGTGTTCTGATCAAAGACCTGAGCTCCCTCATAACATCTCACCTGTTCAACGTGGTCTGACATATTTACCTTCTACATTCAAACACACAGTGAACACCTGAGTCGGGGATCTGTGAGGGGTCCGGACTCATCCACACATGTTGGACTTCTGTCCTCCAGGTCCAGGGAGAGAGTCTGCTGAGCTCCATCCTGCAGGTCCAGGGAGAGTCCAGATCTGTTTTACTGGACCAGGAGGAGCCCAGCTCTGGTCTACAGGTCCAGGGAGAGCCCAGCTCTGGTCTACAGGTCCAGAGAGAGTCCAGCTCTGGTCTACTGGTCCAGAGAGAGTCCAGCTCTGTCCCGGGCTGTGAGGACTTTGGCTGCTTCCCGTTGGATGGACAGAAGGAGGTGTTGTGGTGTCAGCAGCCGGTTGGTTACCTGCACTCACCAGAATGTCCCGCATACAGAATGAACCCCTTTGAGGTGAGGACTGACCCTCTAACACCCTAAGACCTGAACCACAAGGATTTGATGTGCTTTGAGTCATTAATAACATTTTATTTAAATTAAAATATGACCTCTCACGGTCTCTATTGTGACTCCCACATGTAAATACTCACCAAAGTAGATTCATCCGCCTCTGAAAATAGTCCCCGACAGAGTCTCTCTACAGAGAATAACTGAGGAAACTAAAGATCTACGTCTTCAGTAGGAACCAATGAGACGCAGACAGGAAGTGAGACGGTGTTAAGAGACGGACCGACGTGTTGAACGGATGATGTGAACCTGGTTGTTGTTGTTGTTGACAGCTGAACAGTGAGTTACAGCTGCTGATGTTTGGGAAGACAGACGATCAGCTGAGTCTGACGGAGCAGGCCCGCCTCTACGTGGAGCCATGACATCGTCACCTTCACCTTCATCAGCTGAGACTCTTTATGATCATCTCATTATAAAGGAAGTACCGAGTCCACCGGTGAATCATGAGTCAGCACTTCTCTCCTGACGTTCACTGCACATCTTTTATTGATTTATTAAGCAGTCGACACTCATTCATTTTATTTGTGTACTTTAATCAGTATTTTATACAAAAAAATGACATTTATTGTAGTTCTACTGAAGATATCAGAAGTTTTTAGTATATTTTTAAATGAACTGTCGTTTTAAACTTCTGTGTACATGTATTTATGTATGCTTGTATTTACTTATTGAATCTGTCTGCTAGATGGTGGATGACACTTTATATTTATTAAAACTAAATGTTGCACTTTACATCAAAACTAAACGTCTGAATTGTTTTATTTTAAACAAATATAATAAAGTTCAGTGAACTTATGGAACTGAATGTTGATTGTAATTATTTTATTTGAATGAAACGTTTTCCACAGTTATTGAGTGAATCCTTTGTTCTGTTTCACACAAAGTAAACGATGTTTAATAAACTTATGATCAATAAAAACCTTTGAATGAACTCTTGTGTGTTTTTATTTTGTGGTCTGAAGATATTAAAAACACAAAACATTGTTAAAAACAAACATTGTCTCTTATTTCCTGAGAGCTGTGACTCGTGGATCAGTTTTTCATCCTAGTCCGGCTGGAAGGCAGTGTTGATGGAGCCGGTCTCCAGAGGAGTGGGGGGGAGGTGGGGGCAGCTCTTCCTCCTGGACTTGGACAGGATGCGGTGCAGGAGGCTGGGGGAACCGTGAGGAGGAGGAGCCACCGGGGAGCCGTGAGGAGGAGGAGCCACAGAGGACCCGTGAGGAGGAGGAGCCACAGAGGACCAATCAAGTCCAAGAGGCCGACGGACCCTGTTCTTCCTCAGCAGCCTCGGAGTACTGAGACCACTACGGGTAACAAATGATATATTTATTTAGTATATTTATTTATTATATTTATTTATTATATTATATTAATTATATTTATTAATTATATTTTATTTTATTAAGTATCTCGGGGTCTTGTTCACGAGTGAGGGTAAGATGGAGCGGGAGATCGACAGGCGGATCGGTGCGGCTGCAGCAGTAAAGCAGGCGCTGCACCGGACCGTCTTGGTGAAGAGGGAGCTGAGCCGGAAGGCAAAGCTCTCAATTTACCACTCGGTCTACGTTCCTACCCTCACCTATGGTCAAGAACTCTGAGTCTTGACCGAAAGGACAAGGTCGCGGCTACAAGCGGCCGAAATGAGCTTCCTCCATAGGGTGGCCAGGCTCAGCCTTAGAGATAGGGTAAGGAGCTCGGTCATCAGGAGGGAGCTTGGAGTCGAGCCGTTACTCCTTCGCGTTGAAAGGAGTCAGCTGAGGTGGTTCGGGCATCTAATTAGGATGCCTCCTGGACGCCTCCCACTGGAGGTTTTCCAGGCACGTCCAACTGGGAAGAGACCCCGGGGAAGACCCAGACCACGCTGGAGGGATTACATCTCCCAGCTGGCCTGGGAACGCCTCGGGATCCCCCAGAATGAGCTGGAACATGTTGCCGGTGAGAGGGAGGTCTGGGTCGGCCTGCTTGACCTGCTGCCACCGCGACCCGACCCCGGATAAGAGGAGGAAAATGGATGGATGGATGGATGGATGGATGATTTATTTTATTTACAAATTGTATTTATTTTATTTATTAATGACAGTAATTATATTTATTAATTATATTTATTAATTATATTTATTAATTATATTAATCATATTTATTAATTATATTAATCATATTTATTATATGTATTAATTATATTTATTAATTATATTAATCATATTTATTATATGTATTAATTATATTAATCATATTTATTATATGTATTAATTATATTAATCATATTTATTATATGTATTAATTATATTTATTAATTATATTTATTATTTATATCATCAAAGACCTCATGTGTTGTTGCCGTAGTTACCTCGTACAGCCACAGGGGGCATCTTCTGTCGTCATGGCAACCAGTACCGACCCCCTCCTCACCAGCATGGGGGGGGCTCCGGATGAATCTCCGCCCTGCAGGACAGAGACAGTGTCCAGACATACTCCAGAGACCTGATACCAGACAGACTCCAGAGACCTGATACCAGAGACCTGATACCAGACAGACTCCAGAGACCTGATACCAGAGACCTGATACCAGACAGACTCCAGAGACCTGATACCAGAGACCTGATACCAGACAGACTCCAGATACCTGATACCAGAGACCTGATACCAGACAGAGACCCGATACCAGAGTCAGGACCACCAGAGACCTGATACCAGAGACCTGATACCAGACAGACTCCAGAGACCTGATTCCAGAGACCTGATACCAGACAGAGACCCGATACCAGAGTCAGGACCACCAGAGACCTGATACCAGATACCAGACACCAGACAGAGACCAGAGACCTGATACCAGACAGACTCCAGAGACCTGATACCAGAGACCTGACACCAGACAGACACCAGAGACCTGATACGAGACAAAGACCAGAGACCTGATAACAGACAGAGACCAGATACCTGATACCAGACAGAGACCAGAGACCTGACACCAGACCTAATACCAGAGACCTGATACCAGACAGACTCCAGAAACCTGATACCAGACAGACACCAGAGACCTGATACCAGACAAAGACCAGAGACCTGATACCAGAGACCTGTTACCAGACAGACACCAGAGATCTGATACCAGACAAAGAACAGAGACCTGATACCAGAGACCTGAGACCAGAGACCTGATAACAGACAGACTCCAGAGACCTGATACCAGACAAACTCCAGAGACCTGATACCAGACAGACTCCAGAGACCTGATACCAGACAGACACCAGAGACCTGACACCAGACAGATTAAGTATAGGCTATAATCAAAGACTTCCTCCCACCTCCTTGATGTGTTTAGTTACTAGTTATTTTCTTGTAAATAAATGGATGAATTTACTCGCTTGTCTGTTTATTGTTGTGTTTGAGTGAAAACTGTCAAGAACTACAATCAGAGCTCCACATTGATAGTTTAACAGACTATATGCATCTTTGTCCTGTTGTTAAGAAAGGTGATTAAAAGTAAATGAAATGATATTCAATATAATTCAGCTCAGCCCTCCATCACAACAGGGACCAGGTAGAGCTCAGTGTTGTGACCTGGTCTGGACTGGGATCCTTAATCTGCTTTAAATATCTGCTCAGCTCAGCAGGCTGTAAATACTCAGAGGTCAGAGATCACACTGATGTAACACTGATTAACACAAACACACTGTTTACAGATCATTGGTCAGCGAGTGATCTGATCATTCTGATCTGACCAATCACTGATGGACATCCTGTCCACAGTTCTCTGGGATCAGATGGATCTTAAAAACTAGATGTTCATAATGCAATAAACCACCCAGTGTTTCAAAAGGAAGTCAGTGTCAAGACCTCCGAACTTGAGTGATGTGATCCACTTCCTGGTCATAGTGAGATTAAAAACCGACATAGAACGACCCCAAAGAGACTCAAAAAGACCACAAAGAGACTACAAAATACCACAAAGAGACTCAAAACAACCCCAAAGACTAAAAAGACCACAAAGAGACTCAAAAAGACCACAAAGAGACTACAAAAGACCACAAATAGACTACAAAAGACCACAAATAGACTCAAAACAACCCCAAAGACTACAAAGACCACAAAGAGACTCAAAAAGACCCCAAAGAGACTCAAAAAGACCACAAATAGACTACAAAATACCACAAAGAGACTCAAAACAACCCCAAGGACTCAAAAAGACCACAAAGAGACTACAAAAGACCACAGTTAGACTCAAAGACCACAAAGAGACTACAAAACGACCACAGTTAGACTCAAAACAACCACAAAGAGACTCAAAACAACCCACAAAGAGACTAAAAACAACCACAAAGAGACTCAAAACAACCCCAGAGACTCAAAACAACCCCAAAGAGGCTAAAAACAACCACAAAGACTCAAAACAACCACAGAGACTCAAAACGACCACAAAGAGACTCAAAACCCCAAAGAGACTTGAAACAACAAAAACAAGACTACAAACTGCCAGTAGAGGTTAAAACCCCACAGACACAAATTGACTTCATAAAGACTCAAGCTTCATGATTTAGTTGAATATGTCCCATGCATGCGGAGATGATGGGTCAGTTGAGGGTAATTTAAGGGATTGTTTCTCTCTGAGGAGACGCACTCATTTACAACAGAAACACAAAGCTTTGACCTCTCTTCACCTTCTCTTCCTCCACATGTCTGGTCCTGGTCCCGGACCTGCACACTGACAGACAGGAGGAACGACGTGAACACCAATCACTTCATCAATACTTCGTGGTGACAGACGATCGATACGTTACCTCGAGGAGAGAAGACGGTGGTGTAAACCTCGAGGTGTTGGTCGCTCTGCCTGTAGATCTGCTGCATGCTGCTCTCACACAGGTGAGCTCAGGTGTGTGTGACTGAGCTCTGTGATGCCTTCAGGGTCACTCTGTGTTCAGCTCATTCTCTGATCTCAGGGTTAAACCAGTTAAACACAGTCATATGAGGATTATATAACAACTGTTCCTGGATCAGATTAGACTGGATTAACACGACGAGAGGCTCTTTTAAGGCACGCATGCACGCACAGTGTGTTTTCTCTGATTGGTTGAACCTCTTATCATTATTAAAACTAATTGATTGATAATATTCATTTGTTTTCATAATTTACACCATAAAAAAAACCTTAAAGCACCAAAATAATGTATCAAAAACACCTGAAGTGTTTTGAATTTGTGGACCAGGTCCTGGTCCAGTGAGGACCCTACAGGATGCAGTACAAACACTGGAGCTCTGATTGTGGATGAGAACAAACAGAAGACGGCACCGACGTGTGAATATGAGCTTTATTTCACATTTATATGTAAATGTGTAATGAGTGAGTCGTCGGTGATGAAGTGCC